ACGTTTTTCCCTTCCGGTTTTAAAGGACGCCGGCCGCTATTAGCCGGGCGCGGCGTGTGCCGGCGCGTTGTAATAACCGTGTCGGCACAAAGGCGACAACTTACTTGCAGATTAGAAGAAAAGTAGTACTCGAGGCTCGCTCTTGAAGCGGGGGCTGGCCTTTGCAAGCCGCGCGTGTTTAAAGAACGCGCGCGCCGCGATAAAGTTTGCGCCGCCGAGCCAAGAGAGAGCGAGAGAGAGCGAGAGAGAGAGCGGCTAGGAGAGGAGAGGAGAGAGGCGGTGCACGGGTCGAGCTGAATGCGTCAAAGCTCTCGGGGGCCCGGTCCTTACCCGCGGCCGATTCACGTCCAATTAAACGTAATAACGATCGCCGACTGAACGTTTACCTGAATGGGGGTCGGAGGTTGCGAACCCTTGCAGGTATTAACCCGTCCGGCGACGGATCCGGCCCCCGGGTGACGCGCGGAACCCGGAGAAGGGTTCTCGATGCTTTCAAACGGCCGCGCGTTCGGCTCCCTCTAACCGGGAAAAGGCCGGGTAATTAGGAGAACAATGAGCGCGATGGGCGCGCCGACCTGCTCGCGGAAATCGCAAGGACGCGCGCGCGCCTGCGACCATTCATTCGTCGACGACGATTCGTCGACGTTCATCGCCGTTTTCTAATCGGATCGCCGGAGAAATCTGCCGCGAGTTCTCGCGATTCCCGAGGAAACGATGCATCGGCCGATCCGCGACGATTTCGAGGGAATTTCGCGCGATTTTACCGATGCAAAGGCTACCGAGGGTGGGTTTTGTCGGGGGTTGTTCGGCAATTTGTAACTTTTTGTTTCGTTCAACTTTTGATTTTAATTGTCTTTGAACTTTGAATATACTTTGAAGCATTCTTTGAAATGGTACAATTTTCTTCAGAGAGGGCTAAAGGATTTGAGCTTTTTTTTAGATCATAGAGATATCAGTCTGCCGGACAACGACTAAAACCCTCATCTTAAAAATTTTCCATTAAATAAATATATTATTAATACAAGTATATAATTAACAATAACTCTGTAATAAAGAATACAGCGAACAGCCTGCATAACGTATTTTTCATACACTATTTTTCGCATCCGTTGCAGCGTGCATCCCAAATAATTTCCGGGCGCAGACGCATGCTTGCAACGTGAACGATCATCGAGCAGAACATGCGAAAGCAAGTTCGACTTACAAGATTGTTTTCACATTGAACCGTATCGCTCTTGATCCCGGAAAAACGGCGACCTTGCCGATGCAGGCATAATCGCCGCGGCGATAAGATAGCTATTTTAACTGCGTTTATATTGGCAACGCGCGTGCCGGGACGGAACGCGTCGCCGAACCGAACGGATTTCTATGACGAGAAGTACAATAATGTCTCTCTAATTGACGCTCAGATTGCACACAGAAAAGGACAATTTTGTCTCGCAATCCGGAAACGGCGGGTTCCTCGGATCATTTGAAGCAGCTTCTTCCTTTACAAAAATGTTCTCCGAGACACCGTTAACGAGTTATCAACGAGAAACAGTGACCAATAAGAATCGAGTACGGCTGACGCGGGGCGGCCCAGCCAACCAGCGCACGGAGCCCGTTTCCGCTCATTGGCTGGGTCGCCTCGCGCCAGCCGAGCTCGCCTCGCATTGGTCACTGTTTTTCGTTAATAACTCGTTAACGGTGCCTCGGAGAAAATTTTTGTAAAGGAAAAAGTTGCTTCGAATGACCCGAGGAACCCGGCACTTTCGGATTGCGAGACATTTTTGGGACACCCTGTATAAATGTGCCTCAAGACTCGAAAAATTGTGTCTCCTCTTCCGAAATTGTGCATTTTTCTGCACAATCCGAGCGTCGGTTAGGGAGACATTACTGTAACGGGGCGAAGAAAGCGAGCGCGCCGGTTCCCGACGTTCCCGTGGAAACTGTCCGACTGCGGGAGCGGCGAAGCCCGGGCAACGTAAAGAAAATAGTTTTCGCTCGCTCGGTCCGCCGCGGCCGACCCGGCCAAGCAATTTCGTTGCCCGTCGTTCGTGTCCACAAAATATCTTCGACGTTTACCGGTCCGAAGCTAATGAAGAACTGTTTCGGAAAAATACGCTGAGTACGTCCACCGACCGTCTGCCCCGCTCCGCCGCCGGCCCGATATTTTATGAGAAGCGGATAGAAATTTATTGCCGGCCTTCCGCCGAACAACGGAGAGAGCCTGGTTGCGAAAACTGTTGTAGGCTGTTTGCAATTTTTCATCATTTTTCTCATCTTGCCGGGACTTTTCTCGGAAGAACGTTCAAAGGTTCGGCGACCGTGTCGCGTCTCGTTTTGACGGACGACGGAATTGTTTGCACGGATTTGAAAATCAATTGTCACGCTGATATACAGGGTATCTCATAATTATGGCACTTCCGGGAAATTAGAGATTTCCGAGGTTATTCGAAGCTCTAACATGATTGCACCTAATTTTTTGTCGACTTTTTCACTTCCGCGGTTATCAAGGATCTTTTATGGATTAATAAACCCATAGTTCTTTTTTGTTTATATCCTTAAAAAAGAACTGTACATTACGGCGCCTGCAAGTGCTGTAATTTCATGAAACGTTCGACGACGTTATGACGTCGTTTCGACGACGAGACGTCGACAGCAGAGAAAACAGGTTCGCCGAGGACGTCGCAGACTCGTCAATTAAAGCTCCTCGCCTTCAAAAACTAAATCAATCATGCTTTTCGAACGTCCGAACGTCCGAAAATGATTTCGCAGCGACCGCAAGGCCGCCGATAAACGAGGTCGCTTTCTGCATTCAGAGAGCGTTTGACCTTCCGCGACCGGGTCCGCCGAGAAAATCGTCTTCCTTGAAGCGCGACGGACCCTTCGGTGGATCAAAGAAACTTCGCCTCCGTCCTAGTTTCTGCAAAAAATTCCACGGAAAAAAACCTCGGCTGGTTTAATTACAAGGAATAATGCGAGCGGTGCCTTTCGGTCTCCGCTTTTCGGTTCGCCGACGGCGGAACGGGCGAGCCGTTTTGGACGGGGCCCGGGAGCGTCGGGCCACGCGAAATTGGCGGATCGGAGGAATCGAAAGAACTCGTCGGCGGATNCAATAATGTCTCTCTAATTGACGCTCAGATTGCACACAGAAAAGGACAATTTTGTCTCGCAATCCGGAAACGGCGGGTTCCTCGGATCATTTGAAGCAGCTTCTTCCTTTACAAAAATGTTCTCCGAGACACCGTTAACGAGTTATCAACGAGAAACAGTGACCAATAAGAATCGAGTACGGCTGACGCGGGGCGGCCCAGCCAACCAGCGCACGGAGCCCGTTTCCGCTCATTGGCTGGGTCGCCTCGCGCCAGCCGAGCTCGCCTCGCATTGGTCACTGTTTTTCGTTAATAACTCGTTAACGGTGCCTCGGAGAAAATTTTTGTAAAGGAAAAAGTTGCTTCGAATGACCCGAGGAACCCGGCACTTTCGGATTGCGAGACATTTTTGGGACACCCTGTATAAATGTGCCTCAAGACTCGAAAAATTGTGTCTCCTCTTCCGAAATTGTGCATTTTTCTGCACAATCCGAGCGTCGGTTAGGGAGACATTACTGTAACGGGGCGAAGAAAGCGAGCGCGCCGGTTCCCGACGTTCCCGTGGAAACTGTCCGACTGCGGGAGCGGCGAAGCCCGGGCAACGTAAAGAAAATAGTTTTCGCTCGCTCGGTCCGCCGCGGCCGACCCGGCCAAGCAATTTCGTTGCCCGTCGTTCGTGTCCACAAAATATCTTCGACGTTTACCGGTCCGAAGCTAATGAAGAACTGTTTCGGAAAAATACGCTGAGTACGTCCACCGACCGTCTGCCCCGCTCCGCCGCCGGCCCGATATTTTATGAGAAGCGGATAGAAATTTATTGCCGGCCTTCCGCCGAACAACGGAGAGAGCCTGGTTGCGAAAACTGTTGTAGGCTGTTTGCAATTTTTCATCATTTTTCTCATCTTGCCGGGACTTTTCTCGGAAGAACGTTCAAAGGTTCGGCGACCGTGTCGCGTCTCGTTTTGACGGACGACGGAATTGTTTGCACGGATTTGAAAATCAATTGTCACGCTGATATACAGGGTATCTCATAATTATGGCACTTCCGGGAAATTAGAGATTTCCGAGGTTATTCGAAGCTCTAACATGATTGCACCTAATTTTTTGTCGACTTTTTCACTTCCGCGGTTATCAAGGATCTTTTATGGATTAATAAACCCATAGTTCTTTTTTGTTTATATCCTTAAAAAAGAACTGTACATTACGGCGCCTGCAAGTGCTGTAATTTCATGAAACGTTCGACGACGTTATGACGTCGTTTCGACGACGAGACGTCGACAGCAGAGAAAACAGGTTCGCCGAGGACGTCGCAGACTCGTCAATTAAAGCTCCTCGCCTTCAAAAACTAAATCAATCATGCTTTTCGAACGTCCGAACGTCCGAAAATGATTTCGCAGCGACCGCAAGGCCGCCGATAAACGAGGTCGCTTTCTGCATTCAGAGAGCGTTTGACCTTCCGCGACCGGGTCCGCCGAGAAAATCGTCTTCCTTGAAGCGCGACGGACCCTTCGGTGGATCAAAGAAACTTCGCCTCCGTCCTAGTTTCTGCAAAAAATTCCACGGAAAAAAACCTCGGCTGGTTTAATTACAAGGAATAATGCGAGCGGTGCCTTTCGGTCTCCGCTTTTCGGTTCGCCGACGGCGGAACGGGCGAGCCGTTTTGGACGGGGCCCGGGAGCGTCGGGCCACGCGAAATTGGCGGATCGGAGGAATCGAAAGAACTCGTCGGCGGATAATGACGATCGCCGGAACGGGGACAGCTGCGAGATATCTGGCAAAACATTTGTCCCGATACAAATTCCAGGCCGGAGATAGCGGGTTGCACTCTTGACCCGAATAGAAAAAAAACGAGAAAAAAGCTAGCGAGAGAGAGAAAGAGAGAGAGAGAGGGATAGAGAGATAGAGAGAGGAATATAGAGAGAGGAAGATAGAGCGATGGAAGAAACCGGAGAATTCTCTCGCAGCCTCCGGTCGTCGTTTCTTCTAGCAGAGTAATTGTGGTATTTGTACGGACTAGTTCGGCCGTGAACGGAGCTCCGGTGTCCCACGTTCCGTAGGTGCGGCTTTATTTCATTGTACCCGGTGAAAAGTTATGGCGAAGCGGGTCTTATAGTCTCGAGGGGATCGTACGGGATACGGGACGGTGCTGTCGCGTCGTCGTCGTCGTAGTCGTCGACGTCGTCGTCCGGATACGCGAGGGAGCTCCGAGAAAGAGAGAGAGAAAAAATACAACGCGCGTCCGTTGCCCGTGCCGGGCAATAAATCTTTGAATAATTGTTGAACGACCGCGGAGAGGTTCCCGGCAGGAATTAAAACCGTCGGATCGACGGTGAACGAGAAGAAGCCGCGAGCTTTACGACGAGCGCAGACGACGACGCCGAGCCGCGCCGTTGCGAAAGCAGAGAACCGGGAGAGACTGTTCTTAATCGTTGTACACGGGAAATCGGGAAATCGAAGCACGGTGAGTAGAGAATTCTTATCTCTCGTCGCGACGATTCCGTAGTTGCCGATTCTGATCTCCGAGCGCGGCTCGTTTTTTACGGTTACCGATCGGCGACGGCTGTGAAAAACGAGACGCGAGGCTCGAACGATCGCGTCAAAGTCTTCCCGAATTGTTCATTTTTCGGCGCAAGCTGGAGGTAAATTAGGGAGAATTTACTGTACGCGCAACTATAGGACAACCATCGAATTGAATAGGCACACGCGATTACAGTGATTTCTCCCTAATTCGCGCTCGGATCGCGCGCAAAGATGGACAATTTGGGAAGTGGAGGCGCGATTAATCGAGCATTGCGGCTCGTTTTCATAGCTTTATGGACAATCGGCAATTGTAAAAATATGCCGCGGGGTTCGAATACTTTCCCCTCCCCCTAATCATGCATTTTGCGCAATCTTTGCGCGAATTAGGCAGAAATTAGGTAGAAATTACAATCCGGGCGCGTCGGTCAGCGAGAATGTAAAATATCGAAAATTTCACGGAATATTATTACGCGATTTAATTAGCGTGTCGATGATTCTCTGTCGATGATTTTCCGTATCGCGGATGTCGACGTTCACGGTTCCATCGGCCCCTTTAGCCCTTCAGCCGGGGAACGGAAGTTCGCCGAACGTTCGACCGAATTGCGGGCAATTCGAATTCCCCGGCTGCGTCTTCGAATTCGCGGCACATGCATTCTTCCGCGGCGCGAAATCGCCGAGATCCGCAGCCTGGGAATACCGCGAAATGATTCCTTTCGTTCCACCGTTCGCCACGTCCCCGGTTAATTTCTTCTCTCGTTCGAAAAGACTCGCACGAGGACGGCTGTTCCAGAAATGGCATTTCAAGTTCATCGTTTTCCACCGAGCTGGTGCTGGCTTCTTCTGCTCGTCGCGCTGACGTGTCTCTCGCAGGGACGCTCGATCCCCGTGAGACGTTTCGCACACGAGTCAGCGGAACCCGCCACGTTCAAAGGGGGCTACGAAAAAATCAGACTCGAAGAAGCGGTTCACGGTACGCATTTCGGCCGTCGGTCTGTTGGATCCAGCCCGCAGGGCAGGTACTGGGCCACGACCCCGACCGCGATCACCACCACACCGGATATTCAACCCCTGATGGACGAAGTTTGGGTTTGGTCCGATCCGCCAACCACCACCACGATGGCCTCGGTTGTGTTCAGGCAGTTCATACTTCCACCCCCGAGGTGTCCGGACGGCACGTTTCTGATTCAGGGAGAATGTCGTGAGCTTTTGAAATAAAATGTCGTTGTTGCACGTAAAATGTCGTTGCTGTCGCAACTTTGCTTGTACCCTGGTTAATCCTTGTGCTGATTAACCCGTTACACTCGAACCCGTTTTAATTGTGAATCTAAAATAATTCTTCTGTCTTGTATTATAGTAATGTCTCTCGAATTGGCGCTCAGATTGACCACAAAAATGGACAATTTGGGAAGAGGAGATGCGATTATTTGAGCCTTGCACCTCGTTTTTATAATTGTTGACAATCGGCAACTATATAAATGTGCCTCAAGACTCGAAAAATCGTGTCTCCTCCTCCCGAATTGTCCATTTTAGTGGTCAATCTGAGCGTCAATTCATTTTACACGACAAAGTATATTTTACGCGTACGAAATTGAGCGTTGCGATTCATACAACAGCTACACTTTCAGTAAAATCTAGGCTTTGATAATATAAAAATTATCTTAGAACGTGATATAACAATTTTAGCGGTGCCTCAGAGTCACCGCTCGAGCGCAAAGGGTTAACAGAACTGTCGACGTTGTTCTACGATCGGTTGAACCGATCCGTTGCTATGATTGCTTCGTTACGTTGCTGTTTTATACAGTTTTTATATATTTGTAATCGCATAAATGTTAATTGTTATTTATTTTATATTTACCAATATAATACCACTTTTATTAATTGGCTGGAAAATGTGTGCTCCTTTCATTTCTCAAATAAATAGGGTATCCGGTTGCGTTGGTTATTGAACTAGTCCAATTTTAGGATCCTTCTGGTTAAATTGTAGACTCGAAATAGAGATCGGTAGGGGAAAATTTGCTAAATAAAGAGGGTTTAGCCGGATATCGAATTACTTCGCCGGGAATACAAAATACGGTAAATGCTCCCGAACTTTCCTTCGGCTCGGGAACGAAAATGGACAATTTCGGAAGAGGAGACGCGATTATTCGAGCCTGGTTTATCGACACGATGGTTAAAAAAATAAAAGAAAAAAAGCGAAGAGATCGCCGCGAAACGATGCTCGCGAATTTTGATTATCTTTCGCAAAGTAATTCGAGCGTTCGATGCTGCGGATGAAAAACGAAGATCCCCCGACGGCGGCGGTCAGGGGGATGTCGGGGTGCGGGGGTGGGTGGTGGTGGGGGGATAACATAATCTCGCGTAACTTCTGCGAGGATCCGCGGCGGAGGGCGGCGGAAAGTTGAGGAACGTAGCAGCAAATAAAACGCGATGGGAAGAGTTATCGCGGCAAAGGTTCCGCGGGGGTAAGTTTACGAGGACGCGATGAATCTTGCGTGAAATGAAATGTGAAAAACTTATCGAATAAAGGTACCGTGTAATTTTACGAGGGCCGACGAGTCCTCCGTCAAATGAAATGTGAAATAATCGGCCGAATGGAAGCGCGGGCCGCGGCGGCGGCCGCCGCAAAATCGAGCCTGCACTCTCCTGATTTATTCGCGGCCCGGCTAACCGACCGTTAAACAACGCCCGAAAGGAAAAAACGAAACAAAAAAAAACAAAGAGAGAGAAAGAGAGAGTACACTCACGCGGCGCACCTGTACAACGTGCAGGGGCGACGCGAGCGCGGGGTGCACGCAGCGTGCACGCGAAATAAAAAAGCCCGCGACCGCCGGGACAAAAAGAGCGGGTTTTAATCGATCGACGCTCGTGTTTAGTTTTCCATCTGGTAAACACGAATCGGCGTTAATTTCCCGTACAAATTGACAGTGCCGCGCGCGCGCGCGCGAATTTCCGAGGAAAAAAATGCTTCAAATACTATATCAGATAGAGTCGGGTAGCTGTACCCGTGTAGCACGGTGAAAACTGCGTTTTGCATACAGCCGGCGTCCCGTGTTTTCGTTTCTGTTATCCGATGCGTGAAATAAAATATAATCCCGCGTGTTCCAGCTGCCCGTTTGTCGCATCATTGTTTCTGATCTGCGCGAACGCAGCGTTCACGCGAATTTACGGTGCGATCGTGGAGCCGATCACGGTGGGCTGACCGATTACTGTGCCTCTGGTTCGTCTTCGCGCATAAATAAATTTTATATTTGTCGAATCAGTTGTATTGAACTTTTTTGTTTTTTATTGAAAAGTATAAAAGTTGAAAAGAGTAGAAGAATTTTTTATTATAGATATTGTTTGTTTATAATGCTTGCACTGTTGCTGAGTGCTGAGTGCACTTTGCTGAGTGTCTATACTGAGTAGCAATGTTACGCTTTTATTGTTGTTGGCAATGGGTAACTGTAAAAAAAAGTATATAAATAACATCCCAAATAGTCCACTTTTGTGCGCAACCTAAGCGCTAATTAAGCAGAAATAACTGTATCTTGAAAGCGACGAGGCAATTTTGCCGAATAAATAAATGATGTCAATTTTCCTCACAAATTCCAAACACTTGTCTTACATAACCAAGTGGAGCCGGTTACTGTGTGGCGACCGATACCGAACGTGCGGCGACCTCCTATAACGAATAAACAATTTGGCACGTGCCACTCGATAAATACAAAGTTAATCAACAACCCAAAACAGCCGGTCGACTCGCATCACTGCGAACACCATTGATCGAACGGGACGTGTTGTACGATGCCGGTGCATCTTTGAAAAGAGGATTCGCGGTGGCCGGCCGAGTAAAATATGTTCCGCGGCGCGGCGTAAGGCGGGTGTCCGCGGTATTATGCGGCGCGTACGCGAGCGTGTGGCTGGCTCGCGGCTGGCTCGGCTGGCCGGTGAATGAAAAGGAGGGCCGAATTCGCGTGATCGCTAATTGTGAATGTAGCCGGGGCTTTGTGACGAGTCCCCGGCACACTCGGGGCTGCTTGCTCACCCCGTATTCGAGTCGGCCAGATTTTGTACTCATTGTCAGAAGTAAAGACCGCCACCCTCGACACTTGTTGCTCGCCATCGACATTTGTCTGCTCCGCAGTTCTATACGCCGGGAGCACCGTCGAGCGGAGAGGAGCCGAGAGAGAGAAAGAGAGAGAGAGAGAAAGAGAGAGAGAGAGAGAGAACGAAGTCGTGCCGAGGCTGGCCGCGTTTCGCTTTCGTGGTCGCATTCTTTGCCGAGTTACACGCGCAGACGGCCACGTACACACCTCGAACGTTGACTTCATAATGCCTGCTCGGCTGGTATTGCGTTTCCTCCGGCTCCTCCGCTTCCTCGCCGCTTCAAATGCGGTGGCCAAGAACGCCCGGGATCGCTGCGGCAACGATTCCGCGCCGTCCTTCCGCGCGGAGAATCTGCGACGAGCGAGGAGTATCTTCGGAATGGCCCTCGGACCCGGTCCAACCATCATTCCCATTCGACCAGTTAACATCTCTGGCACCTTGTCATGATTACTAATTGTCATCCATTTATCGCGATTAATTAATTAATTAAGCTGTCGCCGGATGAATCTTGGACTAGCAAAGTCGGGGTCTGATCAATCGGGGACTCGAACTGCTTGGGTCTACAGCGCGGAGAAAATGCGACGCGTTTATTTCGTCGCAGCTAATCACAGTAATTCCGCCAGTTAGTTTGCCATATATACAATTATAGTCAGAGATGATTCCTGAGGTGATTTGAAGTAACTTTTTCCTTAGCGAAAATGTTCTACGAGGCTTCGTTCACGAGTTATTAACGATAAACAGTCACCAGTGAGAGATCGCGCGCGACTAACGCTCCGCCCTCGCGACCACTGTCGCTGCGTCATAAGGCGAACGCGACGCGGTATTGGCCGCGAGGGCGGAGCGCCGGCCGCACTC